TTATTATTATCATTATTGTTATTATTACAACATTTCCCAGCAACAAGTCGGTTCAAATTCACTAAGTAAATTGTTCTTGGTCTCGTTTAATTTCCATTTTCCACCGAGTACTTTGTTTTATACTGCAAAATATAATATTTGCCTGTCTGTGTTCATCTAGCATAACCCTATTAACCGCTTTATGTAGAATAGCCTCTCACCCTATACTATAAACATTTCTCATAGGCATTATTAACACCTTGAACTTCCATGATTTGAGCCCATGGCCAAAAGTTTATGTTGGAAATACCTTTTGAGATCGTCAGAGTTCGGTAGATATAAAGTAGTCTCTCATTTCGAACTGTTTGACCCATTCCTTAACATCCGGGTCACCGAGGTGTGAACAGGAATAAGGGAAAAAGGGGAGAGGTGGGGCTCAAAAAGGGTAGAAAGGGAAAGGGGGGGGGGGGGTTCAGCAGTTGCTATGTCTCATCTCACATTAGCAGGAAACAGTGGGGTGTGATAGTCGGGATGCACGAAGACATGAAGTATTTTACTTTAGGTTTGCCGTATGTCGCTCCCGAACACCCTTTTAGCAAAGTCTGCCAGGGTTCCCGAACACCTTTTCCACAGACTCTTCTAGGGTCCTTGAATATATTTTTAGCAGACTCTACTAAGGTCCTCGAACACCTTTTTACCAGAGTCGGTTATGTTTCTCAAACACATTTTTAGCTGACTCTACTAGTATTCTCAAACATCTTTTTTGCAGACTCTGCTTGGTTCTCGAACACCCTTTTTGCAGACTCTGCTTGGTTCTCGAACACCCTTTTAGCAGACTCTGCTAGAGTTCTTGAATACCTTTCTAGCAGACTCTACTAGCGTCCTCAAACAGCTTTTTGCCAGAGTCTGCTATGGTTCTCGAAAACCCTTTTAGCAGACTTAAGTAGGATTCTCAAACACCCTTTTGGCAGACTCTTCTAGGGTTCTTGAACACACTTTTAGCAGACTCTACTAAGATTCTCAAACATATTTTTACCAGAGTCTGCCAGGGTTCTAGAACACCTGTTTAGCAGACTCTGCTAGGGTTCTTGAATACATTGTTTCCACGATCCCTGGAAGAAGAAGAGAGTACGTACGTCACGAGCTCCGATAGAGATCAGGGATCTGACGCCAAGCCCATGGGGGAGATCGTTTACTATCTATCTATCTATCTACCTATCTATCTATCTATCTATCTATCTATCTATCTATCTATCTATCTATCTATCTA